CTGGTTCCGGGCTTTTCTTAGACCTGGGTGTAGGTACCTGTTCTGAGCTGCGGTCCCTCCCAACCTCCTCTCCTCGCAACCTCCTTCCCCCCCCCCTCCTGGGGAGTGAGAGTAGGGTAGGGGTGGGCGAAGGGGGCGTTGAGTAGCTCTAACTGCAAATTGGGAGGGGCAGATTTTCCTGACCAGAGCCCTTGTTACCCATCCCCCATCCCTTGAGAGGGTGAGGGAGGTATTCTTAATAAACCTCCCCCATAGAACTCACAAGATGGAGATGGGGAGAATTTGCTCTACTTCCCTTCTTCTGGTTCAATGGCTATTTGACTCAGAGATCTCCATCTTGGCAATTTCCTATGCACCGTATCCATTAAATGACAAGCTTGGACGACTGCTTCAAATAACATGACTTGAGGAACCTTGTTTTAAAAAGTGTAAAAACTTTGCCTGGACTGAAAACTATTTCGGTGGCAAGTGATTTGGAATAATGGTCACTTTAGTTTACCACTTCAGATTTGGTGAAAGCTTGTTTGCTCTGCTTTGTTGTTATTCTGTAGGGGTACAAGAGTGGGGATGGGCTGCTCTGTGCAAATTCCAAGTCCGCGTGGGAAGGGTGGGAGCTGGGGGTGGGATTGATGGGTGAACCATGTCATGAGAAAGGAATTATGCCCTGACTGACTTAATTATTTGCAAGGTTGGTTCAGAAAAGTCATTTCCTTCAATCACTCAGATCAAAAAGTAATTATCTTTGGAACACCCACCCTCCCATTCATAAAAGCACTGACTTCTCTTTCACACAGAAGCTTACCTTGGCTTCTCCCCTTCACTAGCATACGTACCTCTCTCTTGACACCCCATCTTAAAATGACTGCTGCTGGCAAGAGAGGTGAAAAATACAGTATGTTTGTAGGCCTGCAGCAAATTAAAGTTACCCCAGAAAAACACTGGTTTTCATCCTTCCTTGATTGATGAGTATTTATTTTTGTGACTGGCTTGATATTAGCTAGAGAGCATGCATGAAAAAATACACAAAGCAAATGATTTAGAATTTGCTTCAATATATAAGAGGAAACCTTCATGGAAAGATCAACTCTGCATTTCAAATGTAGTTTAAAACCCACTGTCTGTTCAGGACTAGTGACACTTCAGCAGAAATCTTAAGATCTTTTCCTCAAAATCAGGTAGATTCTGACACACTCCCTTGTGTAGATTCTGACACACTCCCTTGTGTTGAAATTGCCTTCTTTAAGCATTTAGTCAAAAACGCCTAGTGTTGAAAGATGCTCCTGTTCTCATGCCCTAATGGAAAATAAACAAATTTCTAAACTCCTATCCTGAGCCAAGGCCTACCTCAAGCCTCTTTGTTTCACCAACTCACTGTCTTATAGCTTGGGGCACAAGGAGTGGTAAATTCAGGCTGACATTTCTCCAGCATCCAAGTATAGCTATAGCTATAAAATAGTGTAATATTTTCCCACTGGCTGGTAAATAACTGTGCTCTGAGCCCCTTGGGTTCCCCTCCCTGGGACCACCTGGACCACCCCCATGGTGTAGCAGTTGTGGGGTTAACAGCTGGCACAGCTGGGGCCTTCAGGGAAGCTGGCTTGGCTCTTGGACCCCTTTTCCCTCCTAGTTGTGAACTAATTTGAATATCACCCCTGGCTTGCATTCTTCATGTTGAAAATGACTGATCACACATCTACTTTCCTCACTACTTCAGGAAAACTCTTAAGTTTTATGGTGACATCAATAGTCCTTAGCTACTTGGGTAAAGAAAGAGCCACTAATTAGACATTACTCCTAGGAATTTGTCTCAGTCATGCACTTAGCTTCTTTCCTCTTATTCAACTGGGGTTTGATCCCTAGGGACACAGTCATTTATTCAACAATTTAGACCAGTTAATTAAAGCTTCAAAGCCTCTGTAAATACAATTCTTCCTCTGCAGCGCCAGAACACTTGGTATGCATGCATGGCAGTGAAGAAGCAAAAGCACAAAGTAGACTAAAAAATGGAGGTGGCCCCATTCCTTATATGTTAGGGGGCCTTCCAAGTGAAGCCAAACTGTGAGGCATGAGGAAGGACTCAGAGTGGCCATGACCTTGGACTTGTTACCTCAGCCAACCTCTGGTATCACTTGGAGCTGGAGGCTGGAGTCAAGTTTGTTCAGGGGCCTTCCTACCTGAATGCTCCTCATAAAAAGCATAGAGGCTGTGGGATGTGTACATAGACTTTTTTGCTTGTTTGTTTTTGTTTTTATTTCTTCAGAAGCATACTCTACAATCTGCTGTTTGCTGTTTGTATATTGTTTCTATATTTTGCATGTTTGAACGAATATATAGTATGTAAGACAAGCTATTCCAAGGGGTAGGAACATTTTCAAATATTAAAAGTTAAATGACTTTGAAGTTAAATAAGTAAAAAATGATCATAAGGAAGTGGTCAGGGTATATTAGTGGAGATATATATATATCTTTGAAATATATATATGCTTCAAATTTCACATGAATGGTAGGAAATGTTAGAAGCAGAGCAAACCTTGGACCTAAATGAGCTTGGTTCATTGATAATCAAATAATCAAACAAAAAGGAAAGAAAGGCTGTAGCAATTAGTGCAGTGTTTTTAAACTTGAGTAACTTAGGGACCTTTTCAAAGAAAATTTTCCAAAGAAAAAATCCTTTAGAGTCCCAGTGTTAGTCTAAAATAATGTTACTTAAATAGACAAACAAAAATGAGACATAAATTCATGCTTAAAGCTCTTATAAAATTTTAAAAAGAAATTTACAAACTAAGCACAAATAAAACTAAACACAAAGAAAATGTAAATCCTCAATGTTAATTTAATATCAACAGATGAGGTTTTGCTGAGAATAAAATGCCTCTTGCCATAGGACTATGGTGTTGCCCCCTATGGTACATATTCTTTAGAGTTCAATATTTCCCTACTACTGTGAGCTTTTGTGAGTGACTCAATTCTCCCACTCCTTTTCTCCATTCAAACTCCTAAAAAATCCATCATTGTCGAGCATGTTGTGATAGCATTTGGACTTCACTTGGTGTGAACACATTGCTTATGTATCCAGGCTCCTTTTCTCTCACAGCTCTGAAGTTTGAGCAGTATTACTTGGTGATTATGTGGTTATAAATGCACAGGCAAACACAAATTTTTGAAATCATATGCCATTTCTTTGTAATAATTAAAATAATGAGTAACATTTATACAGTGCCCACTGTGTACCAGACACTGCTCCAAGTGCTTTATGTGTTTTAACCCATGTAATCCTCACTACTACCTTATGAAGTAGCCCCATTGTACAGGTGAGGGAACTAAGGTTCTGAGAATTCCCAAGGTCACACAGCAAAGCCAGATGTAAACACAGGCAGTCTGTTCTAAAATGAGGAGCTTAACCACTATGCCCTATAGCCACTCATCGGTAACCGTTGTCCAGAATATGCTTATATTAATTTTCATGAAATAGAATAAAAACACACAATTAAAGCTTCTCCTAGAGAGCTCTAGGACCTCTGAAAATCATCTGTGAGCCCCCGTTTGAGAAACAATCATTCAATGCTCTACTCTTAAACCTTTTCTATTTCTAGACATAATTATAATACTAGAGTGTTCTTTAATTCTTTAAAGTATAAAAATATGTCCTGATTCTATACATGATTACTTCACTTACCCATGTTTTAAGGCTATAGCACTATATTAGTTAATTGGTATAAAAGCCCTGCTAGTAATAGATATGATAAAAGGGATGACATGTTAGACACATGAAAATGCACATGTCTATATAGTCTTAACAAGGATAAGAAATTATAGAAAGGCATGAATTCAGTCTCATTGCCTTTGATAGGAAGGAAGATGAGGGTGAATATTCTGGGATGAGTGGCATTAAACTCTGGGAGATACTAGGAGAGAGGTGGTTGGCTGAAATCTTGAAAGGGAAGGCTGGGTGTAGAAACCCACCCAAATCCACCCTGTCCTGGGGGTGGCAGCTCGGCTGAAAATCCTGGAGACAATGATCTGGGTGTAGCAGAGTGGGAAGGTTAAAGAAACAAACAGAAAATCATTTTAGCCTTTTGCCCTTGGCGTATATATGTAATCTAAATACTGCAGCCAGTTAAGCTCAGGTTTATTCCTTACTTGTTTATGTCTTCAATAGGTTTACTGTGTTATCACTGTTTGCTTGCCTTAGATTGTAAATGAAGACAAAGTAAATGAAGACAAACTGGGGAGTATGTTGAACCTACTCCACAGTATTGTGTTGTGTTACAGTATTGTGGTGACAATACTGTAAAAAAACATACTAAAGCCCTTTTGATTGATGCATCAGAAAAAATTATTTATTGAGTACCTACCATATGCAGAGCTCTCTGCTAGCTGCAGATGGATGGAAGGATGAGTAACTTATGGTTCCTGCTGTCGGAGAAATTTCCTAGGGTAAGCTAATAAATGGTGCATGTGAATGGAACAGATAATGAGACCTGCCATTGATAGCATGGTGACTAAGCTCTTGGGTTGTACGGTAAAACCACTTGCAATAGCAGCTCTAACCACTGGCTGGATGCCCTCTGCCAAGCTAACTTACTTTCCTCATCTGTAATGGAGAGGATGATAATATTAGTACCCATATCATAGGCTTGTTGTGAAGACTAAATGAGATGATACATATACAATGCTTAGTATGTCTGCTATTTAGAACCTTGTTTTTCAGACGTGAGCATGTAGCTGCTGAGGCTCTGCTAACAGTGACCATGTCTGACCAAAGGTGTGCTTTGGATTTTGCCAGAGTCGCCTCAGCATGGTCCCCTGGAAGGTGAGGAGAGAAGCTGGGAGAGGGAACACTACTTGGGCGTGCCTGGGGTCACTGTGTATGGGTACCACTGCCCTCTACTGGACACAGTTCTCACAGGTTTTTGAGAAATACCCAAACTATTTTGATAGTCTCTTGTTCCAACACCCTGTGTTTATAGCCCATCTGAGGTCATTTTTCCTCCTTTCAGATACCTGGGAGCCAGAGGAAATTCTATTGTCTGCCAGCCTCAGCTTCTCACCTGCTTTTAACTAATATGGAGTCTGGGTAGGTATTGATTTTTCTGCTTTTCTCTGACTGCACTCATCAGTCATTTTATATTACTGGAGAGTCCATTAGCAATAAAAATAAAGGATGGAAGTTACAAAGCCCATTAGAGAAACTTACTCTCTGTTTCTTTGGGGTGAGGGAAACAATTAAAAGCACGTCATCTTATAAACATTCTAATAGAGTTATTAGAAAAGTGAATAAACCAAGGATGTGATGGTCAAGGGATGAAATGAAACTCTCCTTAGTAAGTAGTCGACCAGAAGTACCCTGACGGTCCACAGCCTTGTAGCAGACATGGAGCTCAGCTGCCATACGTGGGTGAGGAAAAGATTAAGTACCAGAATAAAGGAGCATTACACAACAGAGATTCAGCCATCGGCTCACGCGTGAATGAATTCCAGAACTATAATGGCAGAGCTAAGATGAGAGAAAGGAGGAGTTTAAGTATAAAGGGAAGAGGTGGTAATACAACCCTGACTTTGAGATTTAGGTGAATTGAGGAAACAAAGCCATGTCTCCACTAGGTTACGCACCCGTGTTCCTTCCACTTGTGCAGATGGTCACTGAAATTCACTTAGTTCCCTGGGGGGGAGCTGAGACGGGGAGAACAAAGCAGGAACGGACTACAGAATCTGATGCTTGTTGGCTAGAGGGGTCCTCATGCTTCTTGGGTTGGTATGAGCTATTATGTGTGAGTGACGAGCAGCATTCTTGGCGCATGTTGGCACTCAAAAAATGTTAAATGTTAATTCCCTTTCTTCTTTCCCTGTAAGGGGGAGAGTGTATGGAATCTATTATGAATATTATGAATATAGTGGATATTAGGCTGCAATTAATTTAATTTCCTTTTATTTTCATAGCTTCCCAGAGTAAACAGTTTTCACACTAAAGGCTATTTGGACATTTATTCTCTTTAATTGAGCATTAAGTATATATTAAGTTGTCTGACCCTCTTTGGTCCAGAAAGCAATAAATGCTTCCACAAAGCCCTGTTATAGGTTGCTAGATTTATGCTTTGTTCTCTCATTCTTGCTCACACAACAAGTTGGTTGGCATTGTACTAGGTTTTTCTACCTATTATAAAGTTGCTCCATAGTGTGTTTTTTTCCCCTCCTGATTATAATTCATTGTCTATAAAGAGTATAACAGTAATACTGGGAATAATAAAAAAAGAACTTTGCAATCCCACTTCTCTAACATCTGAAGTATTTACATTTTTCCATGTTCTTCCAATCTTTACCCATATGCATATTTCCTTGTTACATAGAATCTTGCACCTTGCTTTTTCATTTGATGTTATTTTATGTACATTTTAATGCTGCTTCATGGCAGTCATAATTATAATATTTAATGGTTGTAAAATATTTCATTAAGTTTGTCTTATAACTTACTGACTCAATTCTCAGAGGCATTAAAGATATTTTACTATCTATATTTTTTACTATTATAAATAATATCATCATAATTTTATAAATAGGTTTTTTTTTCTCCACTTGAATTGCTTCGTCTGAATAAATTCTCGGGAGTTGGCTTATGGTTCTTAACGTACATGATCAATTATTTTCCTAAAAAACTATTATTTTATTCTGCCAGGAGCAGTGGATGAGACTTCTCTTGATTATCCTCTTACGCAGCATTTAATACTGCTGACCAAATACTCTCTTCCCTCGAGTTCCCTGGGTGCCATCCTATTCTAGTTTTTCATCTGCCTCTCCAGCTATTCTTCCTTCGTTTTCTTTGTGGTCTCCTGTGCCTCCACTTTTGCCTTCAATCTCTGTGTGGAGCTCAGGCCTGGGCTATCTGTTCTTCTCATTTTTACATTCCCTTTGGAACATCCCATCCCTCTACAGTAGACTTTAATTACTGCATCATTGGTCACATCCTATCCCTGTACACCAGACTCATACCCATATGCTAATGGACTCCCTGCTCTCCCTGTCTCTAGTCTTGTTCCCTCAAATCCGTTCTTGTTACTACAGCCAGAGTGACCTCCCAACACATCAGTTGGATCACATCATCTTCTGCGAAAAACCCTTCAACAGATTTCTGTTGCTCTTAGGAAATAGTTGAGATTCCAAAACCAGGATCCCAAGACCCTTCATGGTATGACTGCTGCCTGTTTCTCGTGCTGCTCTGTCTCCCACTCCATGCTCCTGCCATTTCATTGTATGTGCTGTGGCTTCCATCTTACCTAGGTGCCTGTCAACACCCTTATACTCATCCTTTATGGCTCAGAGAGGCATTTCCTGGGCACTAGGTAAGTTTAGGCTTCTGTGGTATATGTTCTCTAAGCTCCTTTCCCAACCATACTACTTGCTACTTTTCATTTAAGCCTGTGTCCAGGAGCATCAATTCCACAGCACGCCCGGCTTGCCCTGGGCGTGGGTCAAGTGAGCTCCTAAGGCCAAACAAAGCTCTCAGCAGCAGGTGCTTGCAGTGAGAGGCACTGGGTGTGCACGGGGTCAGTGGGTGCTTAGGGTCTATGGAGGAGGCATTGACAGCCTTTCTTGCAATCTACCTCTCACACTGCTCAAGTCCACTCATGATCCAGACTCAATTCACTCTGGCCTGTCACTGAGTCTTCAAAGTGGTGGCTTATGCTCACCTGGTTTTCCTCTCAATTGAAAAAAGAAAACGAAAAAGATTTACAACACGGGGGATGGTGGGACAGCTCTAGTCCCTGATGCTGCCCCGAGGCATGATTGATACTCATCTTCAAGGATGGCAGTTTTGCTAGTCCAGGTTGCTTGTCCAGTGGGATAATCCTGACATGCCCTCCTGAGATTCTGAGCCTCTGGTTACCAAGTTTTTGTCGGGCTCTGATTGCCTCTGGTTATTGTACTTTTAAGGAATAGGAAGCACAAATTCCCTAGTGGGGTCACTTAGATAAGTGACTTGGATAAGTATACTGTGCATCTGAAATGATGACTTTATCTCATACTTGGCACCTTAGCTGGGCCTTGTAGAGGCCTTTTGGATACTCTCAAGCTGGCAGCCTCCAGACTGTGCAGTGTGTGAAAAGTATGATGGCTCCTGAGGTCATAGGCCATCATGGCACCTCCTTTGCTATAACATTGGTCTCTAGGTCTAAGGCGATCACATGTGGGATCTCATGTTAACAAACCAGACACTCGGGGAGCTCTCAGATGGTGAGCTGGCCAAGTGTTATGGGCAGGGAAGGTACACACATACTAGGAACACATATCAGCCTCAGGAAGGACAGATGACTGCCCCATCCCCACCTGGGGGTGGGGTGCCGATCTGGTATAATCACCTTACCACCAAGTGGCTGGTTGGTTTTCTCAAGGAATTATGGTATCATATCAAGTCCTTGGTTTTGGTGTCTGGTACTAGCAGATCAGACATTCAGTAGCAGGAGCTAGATCAACCTTGGTGCTTGATCTTTCAACCTTCTGCTAATTGCTCTCTCTTAACTCTTTTAGGTACCTGGCTGTAAACAGGCAGAGAGACATATGTGTTAATGAGATGTCTCTAATGATGTTTTTTTCACAAACGAGGTACTCTTATCTCCTGCTGTCTCTTTAAAGAGTAATTTTCCCAGATGTGCTTGGGATCCAAGCTGAACAGATCACATTGTACTTCACACAGGCTACAAGAAAACAACAACAACAAAAAATGGATCAAAGCAAAATGAAAACTAAACCTTTTGGGGGAAGAGGTAGGATATCCTACCCTGGAAGAACAAACTAATATCGATGGCAGCAGCGTGGGTCAGGGAGGAGGGGCAGCTGTCCCCAAGAACCTATTCTATTTAGTCACTAATCTGTTGTAAGCAATTATCTCTGAAGACCAATTTTTGCAAAAGATCAGTTAGCATCCCTGTAGTTTTCTTGCAGTGGTAATGTCTGGAAGCTCCTCACCACAGGAAAATATCTTCTCTCCCCCCATATTCCCAACGCCTGACCCAGTGCCCTGCTCGAAGTCCTGAATAAATACATGTTCGTTGAATGAATAAATGAACAAATGAATGAATGAATGAATGAAGTCTCTGATAGATAAAGGATGCTTTAGAGGAATAGTTTGAATAGCAAGCTGATCTAACCCATTTAACACAGGACTTGATTGCAGAACTTTGTTTAGACACAGCACTTTCAGGGCGTGCTTTCTGATAAAGGGAAGCATGGTTATAAATGAATAATGCCTTGCGCAGTGCCTGAGTCACCTCACACCCCTCCACAGCATCTGATAACGGTCCTTGGCAGATCTGCCCTTTTGCCGGGGATTCCCCTGGGCTATCACCTCTTGCCTCCCCCTGTGTATGCTACCGCATCATGCACAGGGTTGCCAGGCACCCAAATGTAAGCACCGACCAGGCGGAAATGGGGGGAATGTGAGGGCAAGTTGACGGCAGTAAAACCTCCTGACAGTATACATTTATGTGGATATCATGCACCTTTTACCTCATGATGATAGTTTTTTATGCTGACAAAAAGATAAAGCTGGGCAATATTGGAAAAGTTGACTACTAAGGTGATGCTGAGAAGGAAATCATTTGTATCAATGAGACATTGTCATTAGATAGGTTGGTTTAGCCCAAGAATCTGCCTCTTCACGCACCCACAAAGGTTATCTTCTTCTAATATATTGTGGAGGAGGCTGGGGGTTGTATTGTTGCAAGCTGCAGCTGCCTCTCCCACACGCTGCCTGCTTCACACCCTCCTCCCAACACGGAGACAGCAGGAATATGACAAATTGGGTTCATCACAGCACTAAGCTTTGACATAACAAGACTGTCTTTATCTTCAGCCAGATAAAAATATTTAGCTAGGGCTTTCTCCCTCAAGAATCTCTATTAAATAAAGCAAAAACAGTAGAGGTCCAATAGAAGTTCATTTTGAAAATTGCTAAATAAAAGGTAAGTGAAAATCAATATATTATATGGCCCCTAAAAGCACATGAGTGAAACCAAAGGCCTTGGCATCTTTGGTCAAACAGAGATGTTAACTTAGGTGTGAAACGGGAAGTCCACCTGCACT